TATTGCCCTTTACTCAAATTTGCCTTTCTATTCTAGTTTTTATCGACTCTAGAGAACACGGCTCATAGTCTGTACAATACGATTTGCGAATCATTATGCTAAATAATTTGTTTTTAAATGATCGAAATATTTTCAGTACTATGAGTCTCACATTTGCTGACAACGCCATCGATGAATATTGTGGATATGATGTAAAGCCATCGATGGACATTGTGGATACCATTTTCAGTTGCTTCCTTGATTAAAAGTTTCCTTTGTGACTCCGTGAACATCGTCAGCTTTATTATCTCTGCATTCACGTAGCTCAAAAAGTTTGCTTAGTTCATTCGCAGACAAATCTAATTAATCAAAAGCTTCGGCGTGTTTTACATGAGTGTATATTGTATGTTTATAATAAAAATTCATAACACACGACATAACTTTCATGTTTTATTATCCAGTGCATTATGACAAATCACTGCATGATTCTGACAGTGTATCGTTATTGGAGAAAAAATGAGTATATAAGTTAACTGTGTTCTCATGCAGGGAAAACTGATTAGCTTCAGTGCCAATATTTGTTGGCGTTACCTTAGTCCGGTTGAAGGTTTAGGGATTTATTGTTCATAGTGCCTTGTTGAATCATGTATTTCCTACTAATGCTGATATGAAAACTTTACAATCACTCAGCTTGACAAAAAAATTCATCATTTCTATATGATAGTGCGATGTTTCTCTGAAGCATTTTAACTTAATGTTTTACCAATGCAAACGTATAATCTTGTTTTACCTTCAATACGATACAAAGGAACTACATGTTATGGTGAAGATATCTGGGCTTTGCTTTGGTATTACTACCAGTAACATTTATCGGTTTAATATTGCCGGGAATATATGTGATTCAGTTATCTGTTGGACTGAGGTATTTACTCATTGTCATTGTGATAGTTATCTGTTGGACTGAGGTATTTACTCATTGTCATTGTGATAGTTATCTGTTGGACTGAGGTATTTACTCATTGTCATTGTGATAGTTATCTGTTGGACTGAGGTATTTACTCATTGTCATTGTGATAGTTATCTGTTGGACTGAGGAATTTACTCATTGTCATTGTGATACAGTTATCTGTTGGACTGAGGTATTTACTCATTGTGATTGTGATAGTTATCTGTTGGACTGAGGAATTTACTCACTGTGACTGTGATACAGTTATCTGTTGGACTGTGGTATTTACTCATTATCATTGTGATAGTTATCTGTTGGACTGAGGTATTTACTCATTGTCATTGTGATACAGTTATCTGTTGGACTGAGGTATTTACTCATTGTCATTGTGATAGTTATCTGTTGGACTGAGGTATTTACTCATTGTCATTGTGATAGTTATCTGTTGGACTGAGGTATTTACTCATTGTCATTGTGATAGTTATCTGTTGGACTGAGGTATTTACTCATTGTGATTGTGATAGTTATCTGTTGGACTGAGGTATTTACTCATTGTCATTGTGATAGTTATCTGTTGAACTGAGGAATTTACTCATTGTGACTGTGATACAGTTATCTGTTGGACTGAGGTATTTACTCATTATCATTGTGATAGTTATCTGTTGGACTGAGGTATTTACTCATTATGATTGTGATACAGTTATCTGTTGGACTGAGGTATTTACTCATTGTGATTGTGATAGTTATCTGTTGGACTGAGGAATTTACTCACTGTGACTGTGATACAGTTATCTGTTGGACTGTGGTATTTACTCATTATCATTGTGATAGTTATCTGTTGGACTGAGGTATTTACTCATTGTCATTGTGATAGTTATCTGTTGGACTGAGGTATTTACTCATTGTCATTGTGATAGTTATCTGTTGGACTGAGGTATTTACTCATTGTCATTGTGATAGTTATCTGTTGGACTGAGGTATTTACTCATTGTCATTGTGATAGTTATCTGTTGGACTGAGGTATTTACTCATTGTCATTGTGATACAGTTATCTGTTGGACTGAGGTATTTACTCATTGTCATTGTGATAGTTATCTGTTGGACTGAGGTATTTACTCACTGTGACTGTGATACAGTTATCTGTTGGACTGAGGAATTTACTCATTGTGACTGTGATACAGTTATCTGTTGGACTGATATATTTACTCATTGTGATATTTGTTATTGCTTATGGGAAGTTATGTATTTACCGTATGTTGCCAATATCTAGCAATAAAAGATATGCTATTTATTTGCTACAAAACAACATGCACATGGCACGCAAACAATGCATGCAGAAGACGCGAGTGCTGACTACAAGAACAACTTTTTTTAAAGGAATTTTTTAGCCAAATCCACGCTGTTTATCCTACGACAGGTAAAGTCATTCAGTTGATGTTATCTATGGTTATTTTTTCTTCATATTTTTATCATAGCCAAGTCTTTTTTCTTCAGATTCACCCGGATCAAAACTTTAACAGAAAGTTGCTTCTCGAAAACTGTTAGGTATTGCCCCTCTGACAATTGCTCATATCGTTGCCCTTTATTTATGACCAACACAATTCGATAATTTTTTTTCATATTTGACTGCACCGTCTTTATTTAAATTTTAATGACAGTTATAATTCGGTAATAAAATTGAATGACTTTTCCTTTCTAGGTAATATGCAAGTCATTTATTTATGTTGTAAGAGCAATTTCTGCTTTGGTAGCATATTGTGTAAGCAAAACGCAGATTGTCTATCTCTAATTCGATATAAAGTCTAATTTCTTCGTCATTTTCAATGTACAAGGTGAGAACGATTTATATAAATTAGATATCTTATTTGCTGGGTGTATTGGATGATTGGCAAATTTTGACGGATCATATTTAAATCCATACATTTCAGCTAAATTTGAAAGTTACGTATCTTCAAAACTGTCAACTCTACCCAATGTTTCATCATTTAAATACACACCCTCATCAATTACCATTACACATTGGATAAAATTTAGATTTAAAACGTTAAAATTTAATGTACATACAGGCATTAGAGTGGTTTTATATTTAAACTATCTTTCTTGCTGTTGTATTTATCTAGTTTCTTTTCAAAATCCTATACTGTAACACTCAGTGCAAAGTTATTAGTCGCATTCCAGGGTTTAAATTAATTTTGATTTGGTTTCGTCTATTTTGATTTTTAATTTTCTCATTCTACAGGTTAATACAAGAGTATTTTATCTATCTGAATTTAGCGCTTTAAACCTTTCTTTTAATTAGTCAATTTATTTCTCATATGTTTCACCCCTTCTTACATCACGTTAACACTACGTTGTACGACACTTATATTATAAACTTGTTCTGGATCAACATATTCTTTTTTATCTTTATTATATTGTTCAACATCAGCAAGTAGCTTGTAAAATTCAGTAAACGAGAATCTCTTCCGTTTATTAATCTTATCGTTCCTATCGGTAATAGAGCGAGTTAGATGTTGTTTTCAGTTTTGAATCATGCTCTCATTAACAGCTATTGGTTTTGTTATTAACAACATGGGGTGGTGGTGGTTGGGGTGTGGTATATGACATAATTAGTGTTAGCTGTTATGTTAATGTTTTAGTGAGTAGTTTTATGTTAATATTATTCAGTTGCATTTTAATCCCTACATATATTAGTTTCATACGATTGTTTAATTCTCTTTGTTATTGTCTATATTGACAATGTAACTTTCTATGATATTGAAGTAGTTTCTACATGTTTATCCTTTAATCAATTGGTTGTAAATGCCGCTGAGTGTTATGCATAGGCCCTTTGCTGAATGTACCATACAGACATATATCTTTTTTTGCGCTTTGTAAGTTTTGTATAGCGTTAAGAAAGTCTCGTGCCCTCGTTGACACAGGTTTTGGGCTTGTGCCCTCATTGACATGTCTTGGTTTCGTGCCCTCGTTGACAAGTCTCGAGCATCCAAAAGTTTTCTTACTATCAATCTTTTTGTGATTCTGAGATTCTGTTAGTGCTTTCACTACCACATTCTTCAATTGCTGTTATATTATGTCTTATTTTTCTTTCCATGTCTTAATACATTTCCAATTATTATCATCACCAAGGTATTTGGTATTTGAGAATTGACACGCATTTGTATAAAAGCATTCTAGCGGGAACATTAGCTTGGTTGACGGGATCACATGCTTTAGTTGTTTGGTTATTGTTGAAATTTAAGTAACTACTGTTGCTACAAATATAGATACAGTTATTGTTTATGCTGTTGTTTCGATGTTTGAAGGTATATGTAAGCATCTATCATAGTTGTATCATGCGTGAAAAACAAAAACATACTTTATAGGCGAACAGTACAATTCTGTTACTCTCAATCAATGTTTTATGCATTTAATTAATTTGTTTATCACCCATCGTTGTAATTGATGGCAATGACCATTCCAATGTATAAAACAAAGCCTCTCTGGAAACACTTTTAGCAAGTAGAGAAAAAGATGTTTGAATCATTATGAGTTGCATGCGTTTGCGTTACTGAACCAACTATACAAAGTTTGGGAGTTTCAGAAACCTACAAACGATATCTGCAGTTATCGTTGTTGGTTATTGAATCCTAACAATATCTGTAGTTCGCTTTGTGCAATTTCTAATTGTTACTCAGAGTGTTTTAAATTTTTAAACTGTTTAGACATTCAGCATCTATAATTTCTTCATTGTCATTATTTATCAGTAATTCTATCTTAGACTTTGTTAATTTATATTTCATGTTATAAAGCCATAATCATTTATGAGGTCAAAGTTTCATTCTTATAGTTAAGTGTGTGTGTGTATGTGTGTGTATATGATTTGGATTTTTAACGTAGTTTTAACACATTTTCAGTCATATCGCTACGATGTCTGAGGTGTAGCAGTTTATAGTGATGTCTAGCACTGAGGCATCACGCCGCAGACTTGTTGCATGATGTCCCACCAAGTCACATCATCCTGACACCAGGTCGACATGTCCTAACACAAACCAAGCGAGGAATCTGTTAATACAATTTTTTAAAGTCTTTGGTATGACTCGGCCGAGGATCGAACCCAGGACCTACCGCATCCGAGGCGGATGCTCTAGCCACTAATCCACCGGATCGGTCTAGTTGATATAGTAAACAATATCGTTCGCAGTTCATTGAAAGTATGTCAATATCCAACAACCATATTTATTCTCTGTAATGAAATGGGTGGATTGTCACTGATTTTTGTCGGAAACCCGTCCTGTGGTGGGTTACCTGGTTTTAGTTATCGTTATCTAGAGGTGATCGCCGAAGTTGTAATTTGCCCGGAACTAGTAAATGTCAATATAAAGAATGAAACTTATGTATGGGATATATAAAAAAATCTAAGCAGATATATATAACAGAATAACACGCGCACCCGTTACAAATAAAGACAAAATTTAATCAAAATTTATAATAATAAAATTCATAAATAAACGTAATAAGCGTTACAATTTGAAAGATACACTTCTATCCTTTTTGAATTAACTTATTCAAGGAATTTCAAATACAAAAAAAAGATTATTCCAATAGCCAACAGAGTTAATCATCGAATCGAGTGCCTTTTATCGATTCATAACCTGATGTCTTGATTCAGTCGAATCCACACCGACTGTCCCTTTTGACTTTTTTGTGCCGGTAAGTCTTGGTCATTTCCACTTTTTTCCCTTCCTTTTCCAAATTCTCCGGTATCACGCCACTTTTGGCCCTTCCAACTTTGTGTAGCCCCTTTGGGTTTGTAAATCGTAAGACATCTCGTAGCTATCTCACCTTGCCAAAAATATATATATAAAGAACACCCTAAATCAACCGTCACATTATACTGGGGACCAATTATTACTGACACAACTGGTTAGGTCAGATATAATTATATCGGAATTCAAACAGATCAACGGCTATCTTGTCTAATTAGCCAAGACAGACAATGCAAAACTAGTTTCACAGAATAGATGGTTTTTCTAATAACTACTCAACATCTCACCGAGACATTAGTTCCAGACTAGCCCTGTTTCTTAAAAAGAATGAATGAAATTTCTTACACTACGGTATTTCGACAAAAATCAAGTAGTTATCATACATGAACTAATCTCAGAGAATTCACACGGATTCTCATAATCTTAACTAATATAAGACACACAATTCAAGATACATAACCCTATAAGCCATGAAATTCTAGGTACAGAATTTTCTATATAAAATAAGGCACATGAAATCCTAACTTCCTAGAATAATCAAGAATATACCTCCAAGTGAGCCGATATATATATATATATATATATATATATATATATATATATATATATATATATATATATATATATATATATATATATATATATATATATATGTGTGTGTGTGTGTGTGTGTGTTTGTGTGATTAAATTGTTTTTGTGTAAGTTTTAAAATTCTTTTTATTTCATTTTTGTTTCATTGTATTTTATTGCAATGCTTTTCTTTGTCGGATTCAGGATTTGTTTTCAGTAATGAGATATTGTTTTTTTTTTTAACAAAGTTTGTTTATTTAAGACGAAGAAGTATTACGTGAGAATTATCGTTTAGTTGGGAACAATGACAACAGGAAGTTAAAATGGTTGGTCAGTTACAGGGGTATACTTTCTTTGCATGATCACTATGTGTAAACAATGTATTTTTATGATCGGTTCTTAAGTGGGGACACATTTGGTCTACGTGCTAAAGGTACTGTAGTAATCTCGTGAGACTTAAATAAGGTTTTGGAGTTTTAAATACGCAATCCTAATATTGTTCGGGCAGAGTCCTGTAACACCATGAAAGAGCAAGGTGTATTGTTTTTATTTGTTGCCAGGATTGTTTGTTCTGCATCTGATTTTTAGATTTAATAATCTATTTCCGTGGAACCTCAACAATTTGATTGGTTTTTTTTAAAAAATTCAGAAAAATATTCATGGAAATTTATTCTGGCATTATTCGGAAACAAATACTGTTATTCAAATGAGGTATTGTTGTTATTCGTATATTGGACCATATCTGAGGTCATCACCTTTCATATTTGTACGTCATCGGGACTCGAACCTGGATTCTAATAGGACTATTTAGTGATAGGATTTGTGTTTTCATTCTTAAAATAACATTTTGGATTATATTCACAAACTGTAAGTCCTATTTGCCAAGTTTTACATTGTTGTCTAGGAAAATAAATTGTTTTGTTAAAATATACAAAGCTTGTTAGCTTTCATTGTTTTCTTTGTACTTAGTAAGAGCCCTTGTTACGTACGAATATATATATATATATATATATATATATATATATATATATATATATATATATATATATATATATATATATATATATATATATAAAGACAAATATCATTGTGTGGATTCAACACAGTTATTCTATACTAAGAAAATTTATCTACGAATTTAAGCAAATAAATCCACGCAAATACAAGTAAATAAATCAAACAAATCATGATAGCAGTATCAGCGAATTACATAAAATTGATGCAAAATACCTTGTGCTTTAAAGTTTTTGTGTCTGTCAATTTCCCCAGACAATCATCTCCCCTGGATGATATTTACGAGTGAATTTACTTCTTAAATTACTCGGAATCTTCTTGCATTCGTTATCACTTATAAAAAAGCGTAGACTAATTTCCAATTTTACTATTAGCAAATTTAAACTGAGTTTTTGTGTGAAACCATGCCTCCTTTCAGGGCGTATTCAATGTAGTAGAACTGTCTCTCCCGTTTGATGTAGCCTCAAAACAATGCAGTTCGTCTGTCAACTAGGATTACCCAAATGATTCCTGTTAACCTTTAGAAATGACAGTTTTCCATATAGATAAGAATTGACCCCTATCGGGTGCAGTTTAAACAACGTAGCCGTAATTTTAAAAAAATCGCTAACTCATGACAGAGCCTATACCAATTTGTGCATTATGGCTCTTTAAACACTCGCAGGTCTCCATAAATCTAATTAATCGTACACGTGTCCAACTAAATGTTTTCTACAGAGATCGAGAGAAAAATTTGTTAAATTACAATGTTGTCACTTCGACTGTTAAGATAAAATTCTTTCACTGAGTCTGTCTATTGTAGCAATACACACCGTTCCTACATGAATAATTTAATCAGTAACATATCAGCATTGTTTTGGTTCAATTTATCCTCTTGCTCAGAGAGTGGCTCTATGCTTCCATTGCTGTAGTGATTATAGATTTCATGTTGTTTTATGCACATTATTTACCGTTTTACACACTAACAATTATAAATTTCGTGTTTTTCATTCAGACTTTCTACCGAGCAATGTTATGTTATGTACATGCTATGCCATTCTGCATATGTGCAGTATGCACCGCCTAACTGTATTCTGTAAGATTTTAATCTTTATTTCCTTCAGAAATTTCCTTTTCTCAAAAGTTTCTTTTACTTCTTTTCGATTACGTGATGTATTTGCTTTCTATATTATTAATTTTCTTCTTTACTGCATTTTAAAATAAACAGTTCCTGTGGCCTTGTGGTTAGAGCGTCGGCCTCAGATGCGGGAGGTCGTGGATTCGATCCCCGATAGACTCATACCAAAGACTTACAAAAATTGTACTAACAGCTGCTTTGCTTGATGCACAGCATTAAGAGGTTAGTGTTATGACTGGTCGGCCTGGTGTCAGGATAATGAATGTGACTGGGTGGGACATCATACTACATGTCTGCGGCATGATGCCCCAGTGCTAGACATCACAATAAACCGCCACACTGCAGACATTGAAGCGATATTACTGAAAAATTATTAAATCTACGTTAAAAATTATAATCACATCACATCACATTTTAAAATCTCTTTTATCTGTTGTATTCATTGATTACCAAACTTAATTTATTCTTGTTGTTTTGTTTTCTTTCTGTAATTAATTGATTTGGTTATCATGACCAACAACAATAGTGAACCTACCATAATGGAAATAATATTTTATAATATTATAAAACTTAGTTGCAGATTAAGGTATCTTTCAAAGCTATTACAACAAATCCTAAACATGTTGCAGCAAATTGACTAAATGCCAAAGAAACAAATGCAACGGTAGGTATTCCTGCAACACTTAATCCACCTAGTGTTATACTCCTACAACATGAAGCTGTTTACTTTAAACTTAATATTCTCTTCCGTAAGTCCACTAAAACAGCAAATAGACAAATATTTTGACTCATCTAAATCTTTCATAAAGTTAATTTCATCAGTTGACAATCTATTTCGGTTTTCTGCAGCACCTGCTTCGTAGTTACGACTTTTAAAAGCTCAATCTCGCACAACAAAACAAGAAGAAAATACTAGAAAATGTATGCTCCTAAAAACTGGTGTAAACTTTAATGTTTTTCTTGCCCCTTATCAATTATTAAAATGTCACTTTTGAGGCATCACCAAAGATATATTGGCTAAATTGTTGCGGATGACATTAAATAGGCTTAATATCAATGTAGTTAGATGTTAATGCTTGATCCTCAGGTAATGGAATATCACATAAGATGGCAGTATCCGGGATTTTAAAAAATAGCGCCATTTCCCAGATATCCAACTGTACAAACAGGGCTATGTGATTTAACCGATGATATGGACAAGACCACTTGTCTCAAAACATTTGTATATATCCATGGCTTGCTTATTCATTCGTGGTATGGAGGATGTATCTTCCAAGGAAATGTCATATATGTAGGTGAAAGGGCCACAAGCTGTACACAGATAGAAGGTCAAACAAGTAATATAAGAATAAAAACCGTAAAGACCATTGTAACAATCGCCCAGATGGACGTAACAGTAAGCAAATCCCCAGCAGACGTTGGAATGAAAAAATCAAACAAGAAGAGTACACCCCCCCCAAAAAAAAAACTACGCCGGAGAGAGATATGACCGTGTACAAGTAGAAGAAGGTAACGGAGTATTATCAACTAGCTTTGGGAGAAGGAAACAGAAGAGCAAGCGTTTGTACCCGCCCCGCCCCCACCAATTACTAGTAAAGACGATCATAAGGGAAAATGAGAACAAGCTCAATATTAAAACCGACTAAGAAAAACACTACAACCGGCAACAAAAGGAACAGTGATAAAATACTTACAAATG